ACTCAGCTTCTCTTATCACTGGTATCATTTCTCTAGTCTAAATTCCTCAATCCATGTCGTTTTTGTTGCGTGACACTCTCTATGACCCTCATAACAGACTCCTTCAAATCTTGGTACAACCATCATTTAGTATCTGTGATGTTTATTTTACACAGTGGTACTAGGGTAGGCTTCTTGAATTCGAGAGCTAACCTCTGTCACCTTGGCGCCATCCACACGGACACATACTATGTCCTGGGAAATGGGGTAAAAAGCCCCTGTGTGTTTGAGCTACTCTTTTTCAGAGATAACCCCAAACTTCTGTCTGCATCATTATACCGTTGTTCAGTTAATAAATGAGACAAGACACATTAACCCATGTGGCAAGTGGAAGAAAAAAGAACAAAGATAATGACAGCTGGGATTAATGTGTTAGGTTCTTCCTGGTTACCATCACCAAGTTGCAACTCATCTCCAGAGTACCCTTCTGAAACCCCTTTAACTGTCCTCTCCTTCATTGCCCATCTTTGATATTTGCTATATCTTGAGGTCCTATTTCTTGGGCTTTTAATCCATGTCACTGTTTCTTCACTTTGAAGATTGTTTTTGAGCTCATGCCCCAAACACCAGAGTTTTGTATACTTATATACAAAGCGAGATTTGTTTTCTAGCTGTTTACTGTCTTCTAGATAGACATGAACAGAAGCTCACAGTGCTTGCTACTATATTTCACTTAAGTGTGTATGTGACTATAGACCTGGGTGGATGCTATCCACACTCCAATCTAAGTACCTCACTCTCTATGTGCACCCCAGCTTCTTACACCTTCCTACTCTCCATCTGCTCTCCACTGGATGGCTTCAGTTTCTCTTCACCCAGAGCAATGTATGAGGACCACTGTGTCATCCTGGGTCTCTGCATCCTCAATGCTGTACTACCTACTCTGGTACCCAAATCTCAAACAGTCAAACATGAATTTGTGGCACAGTAACCTAACATCTCTCTGATGCTCCCATCGTAGTGAAGTAAAGGTAATACCATAAATAAGGCTTTCTGTGCTCTGGCCTGTCTGCCCTTCTAGCATATTCTACCCCTCTGCCCCATGGACTGATACCTCCAAAAAACATTGTCCTGACGTCTCACTTCCCTTCTCTCTACTTTTAACATTTAACAAATGTCTCTGGATTGTCCATTGAAATCTCTATTTTCTCTACCCTGGTGTTTGTTAGAATGTGGTCCTCCAGTTACTTTGTGAGTCTTGGGGCACTCTGAATACACTGTAGACCCTGTGCTCTAACCCAGTTATGCTGACAGGGACTCTCTGGATGTGATGCTACCTTCACCTTCTCCATGAATCTTGTGCATCTGCTAGCTACAAGGAGGGTCCTGGGATGGTGACTTATGGATCCCACAGTTCTAGCATTTATCTTAGTAGGTTCTCAATACACAGGGAAGAACGGGTAGCTATTCTTATGTCACCAATGGGAAAAAAAAATCCCCAAAGAAATAGTTACTTGCCCAAAGTAATACACATTTTAAATGGAAGTGTCAGTGTGCAAGCCAGGTTTTCAAACATCATGTTGCAGTCTCTGAACTGCTAGTCTCATGTCCGAGAGAACATTCATATACACACATACTGTTCAAAGTGTGTCACCTGATAAGCAACTGATCCTTAATTTGTCCAGTCCCTATCTGTGAAGTGGTCCAATACCACCAACCCCTGCTCAGCACTAATAATGGATTTCTGGTAAGGCAACTGATTGAACTGGGGTGAGTGTGTGCCATCAAGGTAGCCAGTCTACAACATTTGTAGCAAAATCTTTGCTGAAACAAATCTTTCCTCTCAAATATTTTACTGAGATGTACTAGGAGGGGGAGCCAGGTGCAGTGGCACCACGTGTAATCCCAGCACTCCAGAGTGAGAGGCAAGAGGATCACCGCACATGTGAGGACAGCCTCATCTACACAGCAGGACTTTATCTCAAAATATATAAACAAAACAATAACAACCCCCCAAAATGAACCACAACAATGAAAAACAAATATTAGGAGGAAAAAACAATTGATTAGTGATAGTTGAACCTAAAAGGTCATGGGAAGTGATAGAGGTCCATGATTCCCTTAATGTTTATATCAGGGAATCCATAGTCATATGAATGTGTGTGCATATATGCTTATATATATAAATATATGTGGCAATATATCTCAAAGATACATATTTCTGTGTATGTACATGTATATATAAATGGTAGTAGAGTATATACGAATATGTATGTCTGTACATGTATACATGTGTATGGACACACAGTTATTTATTAAGAGTGTAGACCCCAAACATAAATTTGGATTCCAAAAACAATACATGGGTCCTCCATGGAAGCATAACTTCTTGTTGCCTCAGTTTCTTCATCTATACAATGTAAACTATAACACCCAAGATTTTTGTGGGCAGGCACATAATGCTCTTAGCATAGTCCTGAGTAAATATGAGGGAGCAAACATCATGAATAAGCTAAGAAAGCCAATCAGAGAGAAGAGAGGAATGCATAGAAACTGTGGCCTGACAGATTATCACCAAAACCCAGACCAACTTGACTTTAAGAATTCTCATTCCAAATTCAGCATGTTCCTACCTTTTGTCTCAAAGTAACTGTAAAGATCAAGTTCAATCATCCATTCTATACAAAGAAGACACTATTAGCTATGTAACTACTTTAACTATGAAATGATGAAAATACTGGTAAGAGAGATTTGTGGAGAGTTGGTGGAGGCAGCGGACAGTCATGAGAGAAGCCAGAGCTGCGGGTAGGGAACATGTCAGAGTCAGACCTCAGCAGGAAGTGGGACTGGTGCATGGCAGGTGCGGTGGTGAAGCTAGGCACTGGTTTTGGATTAGGAATTGTTTTTTTCCTCGCCTTCTTTAAAAGGTTCTGGTGTGAGATTGGGGACGGCCTACTCCAACTGTCAGCATGCCTTCCAGTCTCCATAGCTTGTACATAGAAAATATGTCAGAATAGTGACTTATGTGAGAACATCACAGAAGGAGGAAAGAAACCATGCTTATTCCTCAGGAATAC